ATATACCAAAATTACCCTCAATTCATTGAAACCCAATTCAATTCCAATCTCATGATTTACACATAATTTAGCCCAATTTCACCAATTACCCAATTTTCAAATTTTGACCCCAATTTTGACCCGCCACCACCGGAGACCGCCGTTGACCTTTTTTTTTTTGAAAACGTTTTTATTGTTCTGAATTTTTTTTTTCTGCTAGGTCAACCTCCGTTGACCGGCGGGTCTCCAGCATTGTCCTTTTTTTTCTTAAAAATATTTTAATTAATATTACTGTTTTGGCTGCTAAATTACTGTCTCCAGCAGTTATTTAACTGTCGGAGACAATAATTTAACTATTAATTGAATTTTATTTTTCTTAAAAAATATTTTAATTAGTATTACTCTCTTGGCTGCTAAATTACTGTCTCCAACAGTTATTTAACTGTTAATTGACTTTTCTTTCTTAAAAAACATATATATTAATTAATATTACTGTCTTGGCTGCTAAATTACTGTCTCCGTAGTTATTTAACTGTCGGAGACAATAATTTAACTGTTAATTGATTTTTTTCTTTTGAAATTTTTTTTTCTGAAAAAAATTATTTTAATTAATATTAATGTCTTGGCTGCTAAATTACTGTTTCCAACAGTAATTTAACTGTCTCAGACAGTAATATTATTGTATTAATTAAATTTATCGTCTTGGCCTGCATTTTTATTGTCTTCGACTATAATATTATTGTCTCCGACCGTAATATTATTATCTTATGCAATAATATTACTATTTAGGACAGTAATATTATTGTTCGAAAAAATAATATTCTTAATATTACAGTCCCATATACTAATATTACTGTCTCAGACAGTAATATTACTGTTGAGATAGTTTTTTAGCAGCCAAGACAATAATATTAATTAAAATAATTTTTTCTAAGAAAAAAAAAGTCAAGCCCGGAAAAAAAATTCTGAAAAAAAAAATTTTCAAACAAAAAAGTCCGCCGGAATCTGGCCGAAAAAAAAATTCAGAAAAAAAAATTATTTTCTGAAAAAAAAATTCAAAAAATTATTAAAATGAGGGTTAGTGTGATATATTTGTTTAAATTCGGGGTCAATGTGTAATATTAAGGAAGTTAGAGTATAATGGATGGAATTGATAAAAAATATATTACGGAGGGTATTTTAGACTAAAGACATGGGGATGAGTTTATTTTAAAGACGGGTTTTTTGTGAACTAATATGCATTTAAGTCCCTTATCATGGGCCTATTTGCCATTCGCCCATAAATTATTAACAAGATAATTGTAATGCATTAAGCTGAGTATCTTGATCTTTGGTGCATATTGATGTTACATACATTTAATCTATATTTAATATTTATCATAAGTATCTTGGATAATTTTCAGTTTATTACATTATCCAAAGAAAATATGTCTATTATAATAAATATAATCAAATGTTATAGTACATAAAAAATACATTTCGGAAGTTTAAATACATTCCAGAAAAAAATATAAAAAGAATTGGATAAATAAAATTGAATAATACGTAAAATTAAACTAATATTCAAATTTCTAGTATCGATATTTTGACCAGAGAGATCATAACATACGATTAACACGAGAGAGAAAAAAAAAATTAATTGTTTCAAATAACATTAATGCAAAGAAATTTAAGAAAATTAAAATTATCAACCATCACACAAAAATAAGAGAAAATTTAATGTGAACGTGCATGAAATAATATATAAAAATATATATTTTAATTATTTTGTTATGATATTATATTCTTAGTAATTTCAAGTTTTAAAATAATTTTGTTTAATCGTGTATATTGATAAGTAATTAGGGCGTGCACTTTTCTACTATTGATTTATTTAATTTCTATTCGTATATTTAATGTAATATCTAGGTTTTAATTGATTACTCATTACTTTATATATTAAAATCATACATAATCACGTGTAACGCACATGGTGTTTACAAGTGATTAATAAAATAATATTGATCTAATTTGGCGAATTAGTCACTGTCCAAATAGACATAATAAATACTTTTGGTTCACGCCAGAGTAGTCTAACAGAAACCAAATACATAAGTAGCAAAATAAGCACCCCGTGCTTAAGCACCAAAGGTAAACCTATTGTATTAAAACTAGGCTTGTGCACGGACCGGTTTTAACTACCAACCAACTTATTTTCGACCCATAATTTGTGATGGATAATCAACCATCAACTGACACATTTAAGTTGGGTCGATAATGTCAACCAACTCATGTTTAGTTGGGTCGATAATGGTTTCTAATAGGGCAAATTACGGCCACCCCCTTGATGTATGGTCAAATTACGAAAAAACCCCTCTTGTTTGGATAATTACGTCCACCCCCCTCCTTTTAAATATTTTTACGTTAAATTTATGTAATTCGGTTATTTACCGAACCAAATCGTATATTTAGTTCGGTAAACGGTATGAAATGTTGGCGTACCGAAATTGTGGTTCGGTTTTACTGAATTAACATCCCTAAATTTACCTCTGGAGAGGTCTTTCCGTAAGATAAATACATAGTTGAGGGGGGTGGCTGTAATTACCCTAACAGGAGGGGGTTTTTTGTAATTTGACCATAGCTCAGGGGGTGGCCGTAATTTGCCCTTTCTAATTTGCTAAAAAGCTGGTTAGTCGGGTAATGTCGGCCAACCAACTTTATTTATTAATTTATTATTTATTAATTTAATTTAAAATATTTAATATTTTTTATTTCAAATTTCTACTTTATATCACATTTATTAAAATTATCTAATATTGACCAAAATTCTAAAAGCAATAAATCTAACCTTATTATCTAATTTGAACTATTTTAATTTTAAGACATATAGCCTAAATATTTGGACGAAATATTTATGTTTAATTGCAATACATATGGCCCATAATGTTTTGACTTTTTTTATTTGAATATTATTGAAATAGTCATATTTAATTTATAAAAGATATAGCGTTGTAATAATTAATAAAATATTAAAAAAATTAAAAAATATTTAGATGGATGACCCATCAACCAAACCATCAACCGACCCACTTAATTGGTTTTCAACCATCACCCTACCCATGTAAATTGGGTCGATAGCGGTTTTCGATATTTACCAAAGTTGGTTGGATAGGTTGGGTTGGTTTTATAGCTGGTTTTTAACCAAACCAACCAACGCACAGCCATAATTAAAACAATGGTTAAGAGGCTTTGGCTAAGCTTATTTTAAATAACTGATAAGCTCTTATGTGTGATAAGATGTTTTAAGAGCTGCTAAGCTATTACATCTTAATTTTAGAATTAATTGTTAGAGTGTTTGGATAATGAACTTATTTCCTATTTTTACTCATTATAAGATCTTAAACAAAAAGGTTGGGTAGAGGTATTTTTTTAAAAAGATCGTATTTGCTCCCCAACAACTTATTTTTAAAAAAAAAAATAAGATTTTTTTTTAATTTACTAAAGACTTTGGAAGAGCTTATAAGCTCTAAAACATCTTATAAGTTCATTTTAACATCTTATAAGTTTTGAAAAAAACACCCTCTAAGTACAATTTGCCGTCTATACTTAAGCCGTTTTCGCACTTTGACCCCAAACAAAAATAAATTGCACGGTGTACCGGCGACTAAAAGGTCTATTTTTGGCCAAAACACTTGCAGTGTTACAAAAAGCGGCAGAGTCAAATTTGTTGTAAGAGTGGTCTAAATATTTACGGGATTTGGGGACAACGCCCTCGATTTTTTTCTCATAAATATTCAGAAAACAATTGGCACAAAAATAAATAAATAAAAAACATATATATTAATGATCATATAAATTAAATTGTATATTGTCCAAAATATAGCAATATTATTGTGTTAAATTCGAAAAAAGAAAACAGTCAACGCCGCCGGAGACCGGTGTTGAGGGTTGGTCAACGGGCGGGAGAAAGAAGAAAAGGAAAATAAAGAAAGAAAAAGAAATCAAAAAGTCAATGCCAGAGACCGGCGTTGACCGACGGTCAATGGCGGCGACAGACGAAATGGTACGCAAAATTGAGTTTTGAGTCAAAAATTAAATAATTTTTAACCTCTCGATATTGTGTGGACTTTTTTGTAAAAGAATTTTTTGTCACTATGAATAAGTATCTTATGATGGACTTATTTATGGGCAAATGGCAAAGACGGACATGGCAAGGGACTTAAATGCACATTAGTCCACACAAAAAACAGTCTTTCAAATAAATTCATCCCCAAGTCTTTAGTCTAAAATACCCTCCATAGTATAATTTTTATCAATACCATCAATTAAACTCTAACTTTCTCAATGTTACACATTGACATCGGACTTAAACAAACATTTTACATTAAACCCCACTTTAATAATTTTTTGAAAAAATAAAATGTTTTTTCAGAAAATAATTTGTTTTTCTGGCCAGATTCCAGCGTTGACTTTTTTTTTTTTTAAAACGTTTTTTTTTCTTGATTTTTTTTCCGCCCGGTCAACCGTAAAAAAAAAAAAAAAGAAAAAAAAAACGACGCCGGAGACCCGACGCTTGACTTACCGGAAAAAAAAGTTTTCAAAAAAAAAAGTCAACGCGGGAGACCGGCAGTCTCCGGTAGTGGCAGGTCAAAATTGGAATTATGATCAAAATTGATAAATTAGTAAAATTGGGCTAAATTGGGGTGTAAATCATCAAATTTGAGTTGAATTGAGTTTCAAGGAATTCGGGGTAATTTTGGTATATATAAAAGAGTTTTCCTTATTTGCAAATAAGTTTGAATGAGCTGGAAATATTTGAAAGACAAAAAGGTTGAATGTCTTTTTTTTAGTTAAGTGTCCTTGTCATAGGCCTCTTTGACATTAACCTTATTTATAATGGACCCTAAGAACAAAGCAAACTCAATTTATCAATTTGGATCAAATAAATTTTGACGATTTCGATCCTCAAAGTAGAAGATAAGATTTACTAATTTATTATATGGATAAAAAAAAAAAAAAAAAAAAAAAAAAAAAAAAAAAAAAAACTATACTTTTTTGTTCGTTCACGTAAATTTATTGAAGTCAATCAAGGGGATATTAGATAATTTTCATAATTTAGGTTGATATTTTAATGATTTTAATAGTTTATGGGAGGTATTTGATTCATTAAATATACTTGCAAAATATTTTTACCGTTGCCTATTTGAAATTTGAAGATATCAAAATCCTTCTTTATTTTAAATTACATATTCTAGTCAATGTCAATGTAGGATTATTATTTTATATGTATATATTACATATTCTAGTCAATGTCAATGTAGGATTATTATTTTATATGTATATATATAGACACACAGTATATCGAACCTACATGCTCGGCCAAATTAAAGTTTTCAAAGTAGTGCATGCAACTTGAAGAAAAAATAATTTATTGTCCATATAACACCTACAAAATTATGACGATGAAGGATCATCTTAACGATGATTCCGGGAGTTCTAGTGATCACGAATATTGTGATCCAAGGGCTGAGTGCGAAGGGAGGGGAAGGCTCCATCTAGCCTACCTCTTGCATGCTGCGACACTAGTTGTAGGAAAAAAATCTCCTGTGGATGTAGACGCTGAAGAGAAGAGATATGCCGAAACCGCCAAGAAAAGAAAACGTAATATTCGGAACACTTGTTCCTCTAGAAGAAATCTTGATTGTCACGCTCCATCAACTTCAAATATAACCAAGACCGGCAATCAAGAACAAAATTGTGTCCGGTTGATCGAAAAACACGATCAAGAAAACAACGTCATGAAAAACCCTATTGTCATGAGAATCCCTAGTCAAGAAATCATTGTGACGCAAAACTCTCTCCAAGAAAATATTAACCCATTGAGAAACCCGATTCAAGAAAACATTCACGTCATGAGAAATTACCCTCTTCAAGAAAATCCCCTTCACGAAGAAAATGGTAATTTGTTTGTGGATCAGGCGATTATTGCTGCCGCTAGAGACGACGACGGGGTTTTGTTCGTGGAGAAGAAGCTGAATAAAACGGACAACAGTGATAGCCACCATCGTTTTTCGATATCGATGAACAAAGTTACAAACGATAAGTTTCTTACTGAAAGGGAGAGGACCATACTCAGGAATAAGGACAATTACGGTGTTAAGGCAACATTAATCGATCCCATTGGTCGAGAATACGACGTGGCATTGAAGATTGAGAGAACTGGGAAAACATGCGACTGCTATAAGATAGCGAAGCCATGGAATCAGATCAGAAAGAACAACGGCATTCAAACGGGGACGGTGATCCAGTTGTGGGCTTCTCGTCCCAACGGCGACAACTTGTGCTTCAAGCTTGTTCTTAAGAGTTGAGAAAGAATGAACAACAATTCCATTAAATTATTTATTGGGGAGTTTATATTGTTTGGGGAGAATGAATGAACAACAATTCGTGTTTATATTTATGTTTGATTCTCGTTGTATTGAATCACCGGGGATTTTATGTTTGCTAAATTTGCTTGGATCGGTGTTATATGAAATCTATATTTTCATGGATTCAGTTGTAAAACTATGTTCATATTCTAATCTGAAATTAGGTTGAATATTTTCCGTACGGCTTGATATTAATGAGTCAAAATTATGTAAAATATGGATTTAGTGTATGTGAATCTGAATTCAGCTTTTTAATTCTAGTTAGATGGTGGCTGTGGAGCTGCAGCGGTGTAGTGGCGGCGTGTGTCTAGTTGAAATTGCTATTCAGTCCCCTAAATTTAAGTTATTCCTGATTTTGGGCCGGGGTCGATTTGAAATAAGGTACAAAGAAAAGGAACATAAGTGAGCACATTAAGTAATAATAGTCTAATCTCATTTTCAGTTATAGCACTTCAGTTAGTGTGGCTTTGCTGACTTGAAAGTGGATACGGTTTAATTTAATTTTTCTCCATGAACCATCAATTTAAGGTTTGTTGTAAAATGTGAAGAATAAAACTTTGACCGTATAGAAGAAGAAGATGAAGTTTCCGTGCTACTATTCTTCGTTAATCAGGATGAGCTGCTATTTATAGCCCTAAAATCTATTAAGAAATACATAAATAGAAAAGCCACGTGGATAATCCTTATTGGCTAATGTCTTCCACAACAATTAACTAAAACCACGTATTAGTTAGTAAGTTGATGCGCCTCTTCTCCAAACGAATCGATTCCGTTGCCAGCTGGGTAGTTAACGCCTCCGATGCCTTAGACAAAATCCGGTTCGAGAGTTTGGCCGATCAGAGCAAGCTCGATGCTCATTTGGAGTTGTTCATTCGCCTAGTGCCCGATAAAGTTAACAAGACTCTTTCGATTTTTGACAGTGGAATCGCCATGACTAAAGCATGTAATGCATTTGTTTTTATTTTGCCTCATTGATTAGGTTTATGAATTATGTTTTAATAGTTACATATGGGCTTAAGGAATTATAAATTTGTTTTGTGTATCGAAATTGTATTTCATAAATAAAATTCTGAATTAATGATATAGAATTCTGATAAAATTTCTTAAAATTCACCATAAAAAAATAATAATAGTAATTATAATTTACCTCACACTTTTTTTTTAAGTATATTACAACTCATACACACATATGTGAGGAGATTCTTTATTCAAAGTGATGCAAATTATAAATCACACATTATTGATTATTGTATGCGCATTCCGTCTTTCTCGTAGCCGGTTGTGCACAATAGTCATAAGTCATATAGTTTTTCCGGTACAACGCCATCTTTTCTTTTTGCGCGGGGTTCAGTACCTTGTATTTATTCCAGAAATAGTTATCAGAACCACATGCCGCAACATCGTTGCCAGAACAACCGTAGAATCCGAAATCTGTATAGTAGGTAAAGAAAGGGGATTTACTCCAATCCACATTTCCGGCAAACTTTGCGTTCCATATGCTTGCTTCGACGTGCATCGGCACATTGGGATACGTCACTCCCGGAATGTTGTTCTTGAACACTCTTATAGGGATCCCATCCACAAGAAACCTATACAAATTATAATGTAATGATAATGTAACAACTTTTCTTAAGAAAGCGCTCGCGCGCGCACACACATATATATTAATTAAATTAAATACTATAAGCAATAAAGTTAAATAAAAATAAGTTTTTTGAAAAGTTTCTTCACATATCAAAAGTGTTTTTTTTCTTCCAAATATAATATAGAGTGAAAAATAAGATATGAAAACTAAGCATAAAAACATGATAAGACTAGAAAAATGAAAATATAAAAAAAATGAAAATTTGGAATCTTATTTTTAAAATTAAACATATCAATATTACGATCAGTTACTGGTTAGTTTCGTTATTTGATCTAAAACATTCAAAATTCAAATACTTCAAATAATTATTTGTCTCATAAGTATTATACTTTTCCAATACCAAGATGGATGGGCGTGCGCGCGCCCACACACACACATGCGTGTAAAATGCTAATATCGTAATTTTATATGCGTGTAATAAGAATCTTACTGTATATTGGAAGGGTTCCAAAGAATTTCGTAAGTGTGGTAATCGGCCGATGCATCAAACCAAAGCTGGAATTTTTGTTCTCTACCTCCGGTATCATTATTATAAACATTGGTTTGCAATAATCCAGTCGATCCCAGAAACTCGAAATCAACTTCAAAATGAGGTCGGCTTGCGTCACCACCAACTGGGAGTGCCATTAGCTACAAGTTACAAACAAACAAAATTATATATATGTTCCATTACCCTAATGCACGTATACGGTCGTTGGATGCGGGTTCATTCATTATAAAAAAAAATTAACAAAAAAAAAAAAACGTTTACGATAAAAATATATATTACATAGAAGTTTGGAACGATTCCTCCTGATTTGTTGGCCGGTATCTTCATCTTGATATGAAATAATCCGGATCCATAATTTGATTTAGAATAAAATCCAGCACCTATGTACAAAAATATGTCAATATATAACTCAAAAAGTAAATAAATATTATTTTTTTATATAAATTAAATATTTGCTATCAAAATTCTAGTTTGTTGAAACCTTGTATATAAATCATTACCTGAGTAGTTATCGAATTTAAGTTGGACCTCGGTTTTTTGGGGATTTATCGAAAAATGATCGCCTCCCCAAAGATACGAATAGTATGTATCGAAATTGTTATCTGGTGATGCGTTTGCTTGCAAACAAAGAGCACCAAGTAAAACGGTTAAAATCATGATGAAAGCCATTATTTCAAGTTTGAGGATGTTCTTTGATTTAGATGAGTAATTTTATGTATGTTGTGACATTATTATATAGCACTCGGATATCACAAATAAATATTGTATTCTCGTAATGATTATTAGATTTTGGTAGTTTTTTGATACAATTTTGTGAGATTTAACAAGTACTTGTAATATTACAACAATGTTTACGTTAATTATATGGTAATAATTAAAATTATTGAAGTTTTACATTTATTACCAGAATCTTCCATAAATTAAGACAACAATATATTGAAATATCAGCAATTTAATTACTTATTACTTATTATATTAAAAGGTAACTTTTCTAAACGCCCCTCAAGGCTCAAACTAGACACGGCCATGGGCCGGTTTTGGGCTCGGAACCGGCCCGTTGACGACCCGGCCCAACCCGTTGACCGGTGAACCGGCCCGGGACCGTGAACCGGCCCGTCGTCCCCGGGACGGGCCCGGTTCTATGAAATGGTGAACCGTGAACCGCCGGGCCGGGCCGGCGGTTCACCCGAAGTTAAAAAAAAAAAAAATTCAAAAAAATATACTGAAATATCAGCAATTTAATTACTTATTACTTATTATATTAAAAGGTAACTTTTCTAAACGCCCCTCAAGGCTCAAACTAGACACGGCCATGGGCCGGTTTTGGGCTCGGAACCGGCCCGTTGACGACCCGGCCCAACCCGTTGACCGGTGAACCGGCCCGTCGTCCCCGGGACGGGCCCGGTTCTATGAAATGGTGAACCGTGAACCGCCGGGCCGGGCCGGCGGTTCACCCGAAGTTAAAAAAAAAAATTCAAAAAAATTCAAAAAAAGAGCAAATAACGGCTAGTGAACCGGCCGTTATTTGATTTTTTTTGAATTCCCCCCCCCCCCCCCCCCCCCCCAATTTTTCCTATAAATACCCTCACACCCCAATTTTTCCTATAATTTACTTATTCAACAAATATTTCAAAAAAAAATAAAAAAATAAATAAAAGAAAAAAATTCAAATTTTCCGGGCCGACCCGGCCCGTCGAACCGTGCATATTACGGGCCGGTTCCGGTTCCAGAAAAAGTGAACCGTGAACCGGTATGAACCGGCCCGTGGTCATGTCTAGCTCAAACCTAATATTACTCAAAATAAAAAAAATAAAAATAAAAAAAAAATAAAATAAAAAATAGAAAAAGAAAAAGGCTGAAACCTAATATCCTTTTATATGGCTAAATCTCATTAATGGTCCCTCATCCTCACATTTAGTTTCACTTTAGTCCCTCACGTCTCAATTTTTCTTATTTTCATCCTTCATCTCTATAATTCATCTCATTATCATCCCTTGGTGTATAAAGCTATTAAGTTTAACGGAATCTTTTAAAAACGGATGGAATATTCCATTGTTAGAATTATTTTTGATAAATTATGACTTTTTCAATAAATAATAAAGTTTGTAATTTAAAAATAATACTTGCAACCAACAAAAATATAACTTAAGAAACTACTATTTACGAAATATTAGTTTGTATTAATGTGGATATATAACTTGAATTTAGAAACATATTTAAATAATTATAATATAACTACATATATTCTCTATCAAAAACTTATTTATATTTTTTATGATCTTATGTTAATATTTAATGAACTAATTCAACTACATGAGTTTTCTAGTGTTTATTAATTTATTTATAGTTTATTACAAAGATTTATAAGAATAGAATATACCATCGAGTAAATAAAAGATTCCGTTAAAGTTAATTAATTTATACAACAAAGGACTGTAATATTGAGATAGATTGTAGAGTTAAATTATGATAATGAAACAATTGGGACATCATGGACTAAAGTGGAACTAAATACTAAGATGAAGGACTATTAGTGAAATTTGGCTGCTTTCATATTAGAACACCAATATATTTTGATTAAATATCTATAAGTCATGGCCATAACTATATCATTCCTTAGACCAAAATTACCATTAACATACACGCATGCACACATATAAAAACACATAAATGCACAAATATATACGAACATGTACACATATTGCAACACAAAACAAAGATACACAAATCAATACATGAACACATAAATTCCACACAAAATAATCCTGAGAGATATCGATTATTCTAGTCCAACAAATTTAGTAAGCCAAATGTAGAATTTGAAGAAATATTAGTTTCGACTTTGTTTTCGCAGAGTTGTATGTTGAATGAGTTAAGAAATATGCTACACTCTGTCGAACTCGATGTAATATGTACCCCAAGTGCACGTTTTCACCTGAACAATGTTACATACACGTATATGATATAACTAAGGGTGAAAGTGGGATGAATCGGATTGAAATTAGCATTTTCGGAAAATTTTCAAAAAAAATCGGAAGTACAAAATCAATTCCAATTCCAATTCTAAAATTTTCGGAATCTAAAAATTGATTCCTATTCCAAAAGGCCGGATATTTCGGAATTTCCGAAAAAAAATCGAAAATCACTTAAGTTTCAAAATTTCAAAACTTAGCGGATTTTTTCTGGAATTTTAATAATTTTCGAAAAATAAGAATATTCACGTCGATAAAAGTAAAACAAATAACTACTAAATTTCAATTCAAAAAGTAAATAAATAATAAACCACATCATAATCCAAGAAAACATATAACAACAATTCAATATGTCAAAATTCTAAAACAAAACTTAAATCAAATCGCTGTTAATAAAACAAAATAAAAACTTAAATTAAGTATTATAGAATATATATTATTTATATGTGTATTTTTCGGGAAAAAAAATCGGATTTTTTTGGAAATTAAACCGGATCAGATTTTTTATATGATTCCAATTCCAATCCAAAAAAATCGGAAAAATTCGGAAATCAGAATTTCGATAGTCGGAATGAAAAAAGTTGTTACAAAATCGGAATTTTTCGGATCGGAACCGGCAGAAATTGGAATTTTCGTTCCAACTTGCACCCCTAGATATAACCAACCAAATACACACGCACCGTCAGTGAGTACAAAATTAACGTTCGATGAAATAATAGAAAACCAATTCAACAATCGTTTCAACAACAAGAATAGTTAAACACTTCAAAAATGAAGTAATTCGATCTACAGATGTTGTGTTCTATTCTGCAGTAAAACGTAATGGCAAAACTAGAGATGCTCAAGTGTTTAATGATAAACAGTAAGTAGAAATTTCCTATTAAAATCGAACTTTAGAAATCTTATTGCATAAGGGGATGTGCAAAGACGCCATTGCCCTCCCATTGCACCTTTGGAGCATTAAACAGCAAATTGCCCAGGATTGGTTCTTGCACTGTCGCCCCAAAATTGGATTTTACGGAAATATTTTCATTATTGGGAAAAACACCGACTTCTGGTAAGTTTCCACTCTTCAGTTGCTGTTGCAAAACATCGGGTAATAGATCCACACTTTGGCCCTGCGAAAAGAAAGAATACGAAAATCAGATTTAGAATTTCAATTGCCAAAAATCGGTGAATAATGGCTTGACATCTGTACTTCCTTGTATACAAATAGCAAATACATATATAAAAAAGAGTTCAAGAAAAAAACATAAGGGAGAATTTCCGTGCAAGCAGACGACAACTAGTTCTTGTTTTCTAGATCACATTGACTTAACTTAGATAAGTATTGATAAATAAATAACAAACCATAGTAAGAAATTAGTAATAAATCGGAAAATTAAGACAACTTACAACTAATCCCTTCCTCCAATGACTCATTGATCTCACTTTATACGAAATCCTGTCGTCCTGATTTTTCGAAATGAAATCTTCCTCCATATTCTGAAGCTTAGAGTCCACTTGATATGCTTCAACATACCGATAACGCTGCAATTTCAAAGATTATTAATTAATAGTTTTTTTTTTTTTTTTTTTTTTTTATTTCAACACATACTGAAACTAAAAATAAAAATAAAAAAGAGACAAAAAATTTAAGGATCATTAGGAAATAGTGAAACCTGTAGATAGAAAACTACAAGAAGACTTCCAGCAGTTGAAGAAGGATCACTGGTCGCGAAATCGAACAAGCACTTATGAATATGTTTCTCCTCGTCGGAATTCCAAGGCAGCTCAATAATGCGATCCAATATATTACCCCTAAGACAAAGATAGCAAATTTCAGTTACAAGAACTTCCAACCAAACGCTGCTACTCGGTTCTTTCATTTCATCCTTTGATTTCTTATCCTTGACTTGCGCGCAAATTGTTCTCTGATACATAAAAGCTTCGGTAAGAAGTCCACACTCTACACGAACACGAACTGCAGTAACAGCTTCAACTAATGTTTCTCCACCGTCTCGACCTGACCACCTTAAAACCATTAGAGCTACATCGGGAATATTCCTCTCTAACAGTGCCTGTGCAACTTTGGGATGTGTATTTGGGCTTGCGATTTCGGGGAGAAGGGCAGTGGCTTCCTAGCAGTATAGCATTGTGAAGAAATATCAAAGCCACCAATAATAAAAAAGACTGATTTGTGCTTAAATAAACATTTTAAGTGAACGTAAAGTTGTAAGATGAAAAGAAGCAGAGATGCGTAAAATTCAAATAACGTTTTAGCTTACAAGATCCTCGGGGAAGAATTGGACTTGCTAAAATATTCAAAGTCAGAAAAAGAACGTAAATTAACGTTTCATTTCTCAATCAATGTTTTTATTACATCAGTCCATGGAATTCTTCATCTGGCCAAGTAAAAACAAGAATATTACATAAACGCTCCTCAGAAGTTCGTAGCTATCATATTCTGAAATTCCAATAGTATTATCTTATTTCTTCCCCCTTTTCTCGTCATCATTTGTTTTTCTGGAATGCCGTAATACTTAACATTTCGTCAAGTCTTGCTAAATAACTCCAGTATACACGCACAAAAGTGCTCAAATAAAATTAAAGAACTAGAGATTCACTGTAACACACAAGTTATAAGCCATGGAAAATATTTAAACGATGGTTGAATGGGAAAAAATAAGGACCAAAAGCAAAAAACACATCATCCATATGTGTAACGTTATTTAAGGTATCAGATCATCCATAATTGGTTCTTGATTGTCTGCACTATTACATATTTTATGTAGCTAAATCAGAAAATAATCATACTTCATATTACCAAGTGTTGTGGAAAACAGTGTTATATACCTTTAGGGCTTCGTCGGTGTGGTCATCTAAAAGATAGAAGACAAAAGATTCCAACAAAGCGTGCCTCGTTATGCTGAATGTGACAGCAAAGTCATCAACAATGTTTCTCCAGTCATCACGAGGAATTGTCCAGTGCCGATCAAACAGATAATACAAGAACTGTGCCAAAAAGGTTAAGGAACGATAATAATAAAAAAAAAAAAATAAATAAATAAAAAACATAAACATAAACACAACAGAAACATCAATCATGTTAATTTAAAACACTCTTAAAACTCCGTTTTCCAAATTAGAAGAGGATACAATAGCCTGTTTGGCAAGCACCAAATCGGAATTTCCTTGCAGAAAAAGCAAGTCGGCAGCAGAGCGGAGATTTTCAAAGGGGTAGCATCCTGCCATTCCATGTAACTTGGACATAAAAAATAAATTGCCGCCACCTGTCAGCAAAGATGTAATTGCTAATTCCCTCTCCTCTTTGTCAGCATAACCTTGCTCTGTATCAAGATTCGAGAGTGCATCTTCAATAAAGAGGCTAGATGTACTCTGCTCAGCAGATTCCGATATACGATTCACTGAATCAGGCCACGCTCGCTGAACGGCTGCTGATTTCCTTTCACGAACAGATGAACTCCATGATGCAAAATCAGAATACCTAGATTGCACATCCTCCAGAAATTGATGTCTAATGCACCACATCATGACTTCCAAGTGCTGTTAAATACAAAAAATTGTAAACTAAGATCCAATTAGGAAAAAGGCACAAAATATCTAGTGGCAATTATTTATTTATTTTCAAAAAATCGAGCCCAGTAAAACAGGCATTGAATATATAATTCTAAAAGATTAATGGAAGGCAATGTCGGATATAGTTCAAAATCTCACTGCAAATTCAGGTAAGTGACGAATAAAATGGCCAAATAAATTCCTTAAATTATCTTATTACTGAAATAGCATTAAAGTGATCAATATACGGTCGATACGTGACAAGAACGTTCAAAAGGTATTGACCTGTTTAGTCTTCAATATAGTCTCCTGAAGATGATTCATGTCGTGGCCTCTGAACGAAGACTCTAACACTTCAAGAACATTGGACATACCTGCTAGCTTTGAAGAAATTTTTAGAAGTGAACTCAACTTTGTTTTCATCTCCAATACGGTAAGATTATCTATAAAGAATGTCAAGGAGCACACAGTTGTGGTGCAATCATTGTCCAGTCAAGAACATACGAAACAAATTCAGGGTCGTTTTATTAGGATACATATCGCCTGCAGTTCAGCCAAGATAATCTTGAATGTCCGCCTGCACCAGTCTTTGACAACCTTCTCATCGAGCAAGAATGCGATAATTGGATCACTGGATACAGCACTTTCATCCATGCATACATCCGTAACATCTGTGTGCTTGCATTAAGGAAAAAAACTACCCAAAAATGTGACAGCACTAATAAAAGATAGAAAAGATATACACTTAAGTTCGGGCTCTTGAGACAACAACAAAAGAAACAAAAAAAAAAAAAACTCAACAACTCCGACCACGAATGTGCACACGCAAACACAGAAAGTTGCAGCCATTATTACTAAATTAAATAAGAAAAAACTTCTCCTGCAAAACCCCGTAAGGATTTAGCTCTAACACAATTATGCAAATGTTACACCGAGAACAAATCAAACCCAAAATAAAGAAAACATACACAGTTTCATCTTCACCGATTTCGAAAAGAATGACCGAAACAAAATCCCTTTTGACCACAGAGAATTAAAATTTTCCAGCCATGCAAAATAAAGGTAATGCATTTTCGTCAACCGTAAAATAAACACTAATTGGTGTGGGAGGATACAATGGCAAATTAGCGAAACGAGATTGTTCTCCAAGGCAACGTCAAACAGAGAGTAAAGGCGTTCAACATCAGCAACAAGTTGATTCCCGCCATCTTCTTTACTATCGAGAAGTCTATCGTCGCACATCTTCGATATAAGACCCGCTTCGATGCACTCGTAGTAAAGGCGAAGCGGGAAATCGTTACCCCCTTTCGGCAGTGAAACTCTACAAATAGGGCAAACATCACACCTCTGACTACACTCCTCGCATAAAGCGGCGTGGCCACAGGTAATAAGAACCCTCTGCACACACCGCCCGCAGCTTCGTAAATCCCTAGTCGCCCTACATCTCTCCACTTTAGCTTCGTTTCGCAGCTCGATTGGGTCAATTGAAGCCAATTGAACCAGTGCCTTCTGAAAAACAATTCATTGCAACTAATTATGTAAGAATTGAATTGAATTACAGCAAAATCACAGAAAACACACTTAAATTCATGCGGTTTATGAAAGAAACAATGAGCAGTGATACAAAGCATATTCCGACGAAAAGAAATGGTACGGGTACCTGGCTCCGGGGAGCGGTTGGTTCGGCGAACTTCCGACCAACCATTTGTGGAGATATCGATAAAATTAACAACGAAGAGGAGAGAGAAAGCTTCGTCAATCTACTTCAACTGCAGCGATTGTAGAGAGAGAGAGGGGGAAAGGGGAGAGGTTTTTAAACCGAAGCGTTTTTGAATTGGGGTTTTAAGGTTTTGAGCTGCAAATCAATCAATTCGTAAAGGGGCTTCTATTTTTCCTTTTCTTTTAATTTCTATTCATTTTATTTGATTTCACTTATTTTTATTTTTATTTGTTCTCAAACAAAAATTGGGATTATTTTGCAGACTCACAAATAATAAAGTGGATTTTTATGTCCGAGTATCGATCATTCAGAGAATATTTAATTATTTAATCGCTAAATTCTATCAATTGCTATCAAGCCCACTTTACACAGTCGAAAAAGGATTAATAAACTAAATTAAACTAAAAAATTTAAAATAAATTAAAAAAGCAAAAACAAGAAAGCAATTTAGAACGAAGATTTAATCAAAGTAAACAAGCCTAGGATTTTATTCTTCCCCCTATGTGATTATTAATCCCCCAATTTCTTTGCTTTTGCAAGTAACTGCGTGTATTACGATTCTAATACTCTAGATTTAATTATTGTATTCCTACGCAATAATTCTAGAACACAACATTAAGCATAAATCTCAATAATGGCTACCTAAGAGATTGACTATATTCCTATGTTAATACCACAAAGGCTCTTATACCACCGTTCTAATTATTAACGCGATCTTCTGATTCATGCGATTAACAATAACATAAAAGCACATAAAGTGGTCAGTTTCATGAACTTAATAAAACAAGTAGAAGAAATAATCTGGAATTAAAACTTGCATAAAATCATAGAATTGGGTTCATAAATCCCACATAGTGTTCAAAATAAAAATCCTAGAAATTAAAGAGTTAGCTACTCATGATTAAAGTAAAAACAAAATAACTCATGAAAAGATAAACTATGCTTGTAATCTTCGAATTCTTTGTTATTGCTTCGTAGCTCTTGAAATTGCGTTAAAGATTGATTCTCAATTATGTGCTTGACTTAGTCTTATATAGGGTGGAAAACTTGGAGAAGAAGGTAGTTTCCTTGTGCAATTAGAATTCATTTACTGCGCTTCTACGTCTTCTTTGACGGCCGATTGAGATTTTGCACTAAAACTCGGACGGCCGTCTCAAAAGCAGAGACTGCCTCCTGTTTCTCGGAGGGCCGTCTGAGATTTAAGTGTATTTCTCAGACGGCCGTCTGGACTATAATTGTTCAGATTTTTGACTTCTTCACTTTTCGCCGATATTTTCTCCAAAATTGCAGTTTTGGCCCCCTATTTATCCAATTCTTTAATTTGTACCTAAAATACAAAAATCAACATTTAAGCACCAATTATCAATAAAACACACCAAAAGCCCCAATTGAAAGGTACTATTAAGTGTAAAAATATACACTTAACAATTACGCTTTAGGGGAAACCCCTTTATTTCGAAAATATTTTGGCATACTCCCCTCGGCCATCCTAAAGTACCTATAATGCCCTTTTAAAATCAGTTTTAAACCCTAGCCACTCACGGTCGTCTCTCTCTTCCTTTCTCAATCCCCAGATTCAAATCCCACCTCCGTATATCTCCAACCGGCGAAGTTGCTTCCCGGAGTCCTAACTCTCTCTCTCCAATGGTCGGAATTCGATGGTTTAACTACCGTTGGATTTCTCTGGTCGAACTCTTTCTTTTGGTGATGATTTCATTCAGTTTGGAGCACTGGGTCTGTTTCTCAATTTTTTTCGGTCGACGCATATTTCGACGACGGTGGGTCTTGCTGGAGGTGTATTTTGTGTTCCGGCAGTCGGATTTTGACGGGCTACCCACCGTTGGATTCCTCTCGTCGGGATCTATATTTTGATGGTAATTTTGTTCATTTTTATATAGTCACGGTTATTTTTATAACTTTTTTTCATTGGTGAGCGCGGAACCTTGAGTAGTTATTATTAGCGGCGGTTAGGGTTTTGGTAGGAGCTGATTGGGGTGAGGAGTCACTGGCTGTTGGTTTAAAATGTGTAGCATTTTCCAGCAATAGCCTCTCTCTCTCTCTCTATCTCTCGATCTCTTAGTGTTTGTTGATTTTTGGGTGTTTTGATATTTTTTAATTTTTGTTGATTCGCACTAAAATATGTCTTTTTTTTTTGATTTTGCAATTGCAGCTTAATGAAAGTCATTGATCATCTCCTTGAAGGTGTCAAAAATTTAGTTGAAGTTACATCTGCTTCACGTTACAATGTTCAACAGACTCTATACATTACTATACATTATATTACTATATATTACTATACATTACTAG